TGTGTGTGTGTGTGTCCGTGTATGAGATAGTTTGTGATGATAGCTTGAGAGAAACAGACAACCTGCCATGCTTTATGATTGTGTTTGGGTTTTCTGCAGTGCCCACAGAAATCACACACACACACACAAACTGAAACCCACCCACCCACATCCACTTGTACAAACATCTAAGGTCATCATTTACATAGGAGAATCTTAGGTCAACGTCTGTCACATGCTAAAAACTCTTATTCTGGGAAAATGGGGTCACCATTCAAATAGACACAGACACAGTCTTTACAATGCAGCCAGACAGCAAGCAGACATCTATCACCCTTACAATATACTTAGTCAATATAGTGCAAATGCCATCCATGCACCAATAATACTCCCATGGGTTCTCCAATGTCGTAAGAATAGATTCTTTTAAAATAAATTGTGTTCTATGAACAATAACATCAGTTTAACCAGTAAAACAAATTCAACAGGTTGATATGAGACTGTAACAGCTGTGTGTGTACAACAAGAAAGAAAGAAATGTTTAAAACACCATCTATAAACCTTTTTAAGAGAGGTGTATTGATCAAAATGGCTACCGATACTGGCAGCCTGAACCTGAAAAACAGCTTGGCCACCTGCCTAATGTACGCTGGTTAATAATCTTGTACGTTGTTATGACACCATTGTCTAGTGATCTTCTTTAGCTGCAGATTCATGGCCACTTCTGTCATAGAGCTTTTAGGAAAATGACAAACTATGTGTAAGGTCTCACATTTAGCACTGGCGCAGTACTGTACTGTACAACCTCTGGAAATGAGATCAAAGCAAACATCAAGTCCTGGATCACTGGTCAACTTACAAACACCAAAATATTACGTTTTGTGCTTGTACTTTTACTTTTATACCACTCAGTGCAAACTTGTTGAATGATAACAGGTGGCTAACATTACACAGCACGGTATCACAGTAATCTTGGGGGAAGTGCTTCTAACACAGAGAGTTTTGTCTAGAACAGTGGAAAAATAGTGCAATATTTATTTTCAAACCTTTTCTGTATGGCTATGAATTAATGTATGCAGGGGCGGATCTAGAAAAATATTTTAAAAAATTAACTTAAGCCTATCACTTGCAATTACTCTGTCTTAAATTTCAGAGCATTTGCCACCAAACTGGGGAGGCAGGGCATTTTCTAGCCACCTATCTAGATGCGCCCCTCCATTTGCGGCTAGAATACTAGAATAAAACCACCAAGGCTTTGGGTAACAAGTTCAATGAACCACTGTGGTGTTATCATTGAGCAAAAGAGCAAATGGCCGTGGGTGGATAAATTGTGCTCCTTGCTAATTGAGAAAGGTAAACCACCATGGCATTTACGAAATAAGCATCGCTGTAAAGGTTCAAATGTGGACTTACTTGGTACTCTGTTGATGGCCCGGAGTGGCCTGAGTACTCGGACGGTGCGGATGGCTGACAGACTGGCATTATGGCCATCCAGGGAATACTCCATCACCCTGAAGACACAGACAGAGAAAGGCAGGAGGAGAGAGTTTTCCTTCATATTCTGTACATACACACACATAGATTGATCTACACAAAGCAACAACAAGAAAACTAACACCAAAAATATAATAATGCTCATAATGGCAGCTACCCACATAATTACCGTACATGTGACATTTAATTACATAGAGTCAGAAGCTCTTTTTCCTCTGTACAGTCTATATAGCAGCACCCAAACATCATTAATGTGACAAGTAGGCAGAGAGAGACAGTTATGGTCTGTGATTGTGCTGGCTGTGTGGAGGAAGTGTGTGTGGCCATACTGGTTCAGCCCTTGGAGCGTGGGAGCATCTAAAGGAATGTCTACTGCTGATTGGGTCCTGCCCTTGCCTCAACTTACAGTATATAGTGTTTTCCAGCCTTTTAGTCTGGGTGTGCAGCTGACAGCAAGAGACGCTCCAGTCTCTAAATTACAAGTCTTGGTTACCCACAAGGGCATTTTGAGGCAGCTCAGGTTGCTAAATATTGTACTGAATATCTCTTATCTTGAAAGAAGTGGGGGTTAACTGTTTAACTCTTTCATGTTCTCCCCTCCTGTATTTGTTTACTTTCAGTAGGTTCAGTTGAGAGGCTTTTTATCAACCTAAAGGCTTTCTTTAAGGTGCCATTAAACACACAACAAATGGTTTGACTGCAGCATTGTAGAGTGGCAAGGCCTGGATGCTGCACATATCCACATCAGGGCTGAAACAGACACATAGAGAAAAGGCAGCACGTCTACGTAAAGGACACTTCTATTCTGAGCATGACAGGACATTGTGAGGACACACAAACAGACACGGAAACACACCCACAGGCACGAACACATGCACCTGTATCATGTTAACCAAATTCCCTCCTGAGGCAGAAACCTGTGTGTGTCAAGTCAAGCTTATTTATGTAGCCCTTTTAATACGACAGGCATAGACTCAATGTGCTTCGAAATAAAAAGCAATTTAATTCATTCATTCATTAAAAAATTGTCAAATATCATACATGACAAAAACATATAGGATAAGAACATAAGGTGGTATTATTGTATTATTATTATTATTAAAAAGGTAATAATGATAATAATACTGATTCCAAAATAAAAATGTTACTCGTTACACACTTTAAACCTAAACTAAAAGCTTGTGAAAAATATATTTTTTTTAAACTATGTGTGCATGCTTGTTTATGTGAGATTGCATTTGTGCTTGTCTGAGTGTTATGTCAAATCAAATGTTATTTTATTGTAAGCAGACTGCTATTGTCTAGCATGAGCAAAAAAGCATTGTGGGATACTAACCCTGCCATGACGATGACAAAGTCAAGCTGGTTCCATTTGTCACCAAGGTAACAATTGGGGCCAAAAATTCCCAGAGCCACCATCTTGATGGCCATTTCCACAGCGAAGAAAGCGAAGATACAGTCGTCCAATACCTGAGGAAACATGTTTAAAAATACAAACATACAGACAGAATTAATGTTTAACACTGACAACAACAACAACAAGAGGAAAATGACTTCTTGTCAAGAGAAAAAGGTCAGGTTCTTGTTAAGTTTCCTCATCAATATGGAGACACACTTTGAAAGAAGCTGCAGAAATGCCAGTGGAGGTTGTCTGAAAAGAAAGTCTTGTCTCCATTAGTTAGTTTCATCCCAGCAGGGAATAGCTCTGGCTTAGCATGGTTATGGCTGTGTCGCAATTAATTAGACATCTACCGCGGTAAAAAGAACGTCTGTATTTGAATATAATGAGCACATCTCACTGCACCGAGAATCAACATTACTCCACAGTGAGAGTATGTTGAAACAAATGAGACAAGAGAATCAATGAAAGACATTTTCATTACCATTTATTTTAGAATTGGGTTAATATATTATTGTTATTTCTCCTCCAGTCTCTTCACAACAACTTAAAGCAGAATGTGAAAGCAATCTCTGGTGTAAAATAATCATTTTATTTAGTTTTGAGCATTAGTCTTTTACATCTCTTAAAAATGGCCCTATGAGTAATGTTACTTATAAGTAAAAATCAAAACATGGCACAGTGACAGGTGCTTATGTAAAAAGAACCTCAAACACATCACCAAGGTAATTAACACATTTTCCCATGCCATTACTAACATATAAAAACATGTTTAGTGCCCACTTTACCAATGCCCCGGCACAGTTAACTAGCCTTATTTAAATCTGGTGTTACAGACAGTACTGAGGCAGAAACTGAGAATGTTAGTCATGTGTTTTCATGGAGGAAACACAGATGCTCATGGACCCAGTTACAAGGGTGAGGGCGTTACACTCACCTGAAGGATGCGGCACCACTCTGATTGGCAGGCGACGTCTTCACAGGGCTGGAACATCCCCAGAGTCACACAGTTGAGCAGGATCACCAGCATGGACACATGCTCGAACCATGTGCAGGAAGAGGTTAAGGCCAAAACAAACGTGATTTTGTTTTTAGGTCACTCCAACACAGGGTTTAGGATTACATACTTAACATGCTGAAAAAGAACATATATATATACAGCTTATTGTATATATAGCACTGTTCATTCCAGGGGAGATACAGTGTGCTTCACAGATGACGACTATATACTGTCTGCTTTTAAATTACATTATTGTTGACAGCTTTTCCTGTAACACTTGTAACCACAGGTGCATCTGTGGCAGACATGATCAGCTCCAAACCACACACAGGAGCAACATGGTCCAAATAGACCTGTCGGGGGACCTGGCCGTCACAGAGTCGACACAGGGAACAGAACGCTTCCTTTCCTGCACATCTACATCATATCTACATCACCTAGTGGACTGAAAAAGAAAAGCCATAGTGTTAGTCTTCACTATTTCTGCCTAAAATGTGCATCCATCTTGAGTCCCTAATTGTTCCTCTGAATGAGCAGTCTCTAGGCACGCTCGAGGGCAACTGCACGGAGGTCATTCACTAGACTCGACTAAAATCTTGCTAGAGACCACTATTCGTTACGGCGCAACAATCAGAAAAGACAGTCCAGAGGTTCCAGAGTTCCAGTCAATAAAAGACAAAAATATAATATAAGATTCTAAGATACAGAAGCATACGTAAGAGGCAATGAAATCCTAGACAGAAATCAACCATGATCCAGTATGTGAGTAAACAAACACCCCGCCAACACACTGGAACCGGATGCCAATAAGAAGTTTTGTGTGAGCCTAATGCACATAATAGCTTTAATAATGACCCAGTAGGCCTGGCTGTTAATCTGCTTAAAGGCCTTTTCACAATTCTTCAATAAACATTTTAATGGCTCCATGTCTACTGCACATCCTGTTGCATCATTTCCTAATATATATCAGTGATATTTTTTATTTGTGTGTGTGTCAAGATTTGTTTTGTAAAAAACCTCGGAGTCCTACTTTCTTGTGACAGGGAGGAAGCACAATTTCAAGGGTAAACAAATGTCACCTCTGACCTGCCTGAAATAGCACTTGTGAGTAATCCTTTGTTGATTTCCTTTTTCTTGTGTTATCCTTTCTTTATTCTTTTTTGACTAGCATTGAGCTTATCTATTTAGGAAAAAACAGTGCAGAGGGCACATTCAACAGAGGATTTTATTTCTTTCTTTCGTTTATTTTAGTTCCTTTTCCATCCACATCAGAAGCGCTCCAAATATAATCTATCTATAAAGAATGGAGTCTTAAAAGTGTGGCCCATTGGTGCCTCGACAGACATTTGATGGACATTTCTTTTTTATCTTTCCGGGTTTGTTTAGGAATTCCTTTGACGTAGACGTAGAGTGTAGCGACAGGATCTAAAATTAAACCCTCGTTTGTGTGGACTAAATGAAAGATGATAAATCTGAAAAAGCCTTGGTTGGCAAAAAAATCCTAACATTCATCTTATTCTATTTTTCCACCAAAACAGATACAAATCTGGTAGAGGTGTTGTACAGGGGTACAGCCATGTACAACAAAGAGATACTCATTATTAAAACCAGCAATACATGAGATGTTAACAAATTCATAAATCCATCATTTTAGCACTGACAACATATTGCAGCATGAGGCGATACCATAAATCAAACTAGTCTATGTAAACTAATGAATGTTAACTATTGATGAAATATATATGGAAAGTATATCATAGTGCTTCTGCAGTTGCAATATCTACATGAGAAAAAAAGACCAAGTAATCAAAGAGTACAAAGAGAGCATGAGTGAGAGACAGAGATTGGAAGAGGGAAAATGAGAACAAGAGCAGGGAATACTGTAGCTTTAAATCATGTCTCCTCAGGTAGAAAAAAAAAAGACACTGATGCTGCTGTTTCTCTACTTCAGTTTGGCTTTTGTCCCACACACATGCAGTGTTTTGGTGTGTGCACTGAGTTGTGGTATTGAAGTATTCCCAGGGTGAAGTACTGTTCTAATTAGGAAGGGAGTAAAAGCAGAAAACAAATGGTGACCACTGCCTTCTCCAGTACACACACACAGACGAACATACAAACTTACAAAGCACACACAAAAGGTAGGCAAATTACATGAAGTATACATCTCACACACACACACACAGACACACACAATAGAGCAATTGGCACTCACTGCTGTGACCAGGGGCCAAGATAGAAGTTTGTATCAGCAACTTAGAAATTGTTTTCTCTCTAGTGACTGTTTCCTATAGCAATGGGTACAACCTATAATTTAGCCTATACTGTACTAATAACTGTGAGTTTTCCGGTGAGTTAAATGCCCACAAGGCTCAACACCCTGGTGCATAATGCATAGCACACAATGGTAATATTGAACTTCTTAGAACATGTCTTTAGCAAGAAACCCACGAGAAAACCATAAGACTGTGCTTCTGGAGGCAATTTACCTCCCTTGTGATCAGTTATGGAGATAAAAAGGGTCTTTATACAGTACAATGCCATACAACTTTAAACTGAAAATACAATTCAACAGTCTGTAGTTCCTGTAGATATGAATAGAAACATCTGTAAGGGAAGGTAATATTGAACACACAATTCTCAGGGTAATGAAGAGTCATGTGTAGATCTAAGGGGGATATAACAAAAAAACTATATCTCAATGCATAAGGCTTCCTACATCCTGTGGGTTCAACAGCAAATGTTGAAACGATCATCAGGTTATGCATGGAGTGGGTTTGAGGGTATCTACCCTTTCATTTCATGTCAACTATTGACAACTGAACAGACCAACATCAGGTGTTTATGTCCATTTCAAGACATTTTAAGAATATTTGGACAGGGAATAACAACAGCAAACACTCCTTTGAAAATTAATTGGTTAAATTGAAGCAGTCTGCAGCAGCGATCCACTGGCAATTTCCTGCATTTTAGGACAAATATGTAATAAAAATAGCCTACTCTCTTTGCTCTGCTCCCGCCAACATATCATCTGTATGCCGGCCCATTTGCACGTCTGACAGAGGATTTCCTGAGCCCTGGCTAACACTACTCACCTATGTCAGGCCGCTTAATTAACCAAACCTGACAAGTCTGCAATGAGCTCTGCCAAAATGCCACATGTCTTTATTCTCCCTGCTGAGAAATGCTTCCCCTTTGTCCACCGTGAGAGAAGTGAAAGATCTTGACTTCCTAAAATACACTATGAGATATCTAGATTAATTAAAGCTTAACTATGTTATTTTAAATGCAGCCTATGTCTATCCAGGGCTGCATGAACTTCACAATGCTCATGCTTCATGCGTATATATCTCCTGTTTCTCACAAGTTGGTGTGATGATATTGTGATACCGAGGGAAACTGTCTGCTATGTTTCCAGAAAAAATGGTCCCTGCCAAGCTCCCATTGCTACAGCACGCAGCAGCTGGATATTACAGTCAACAGAAGCAGTCCTACTGTGGGAGGCAGGAAGAATGCAAACCCTGCCGCTTATCCTCTGGAGACACATTGAAAAAGAATGAGAGGGAGAAATAAACCAGGGGCAACTGAGAAGTTAACATTTTAGAGGGTACAACATGTGTGAGTTATGAGTGGTATGTTAAAGGGGAAGTCCAGTTCAGAGGCCATGTTCACACAGGGAGCGTTGCATTATACGCAGTAATTCTGCAGAAGCAATAACAGCTCTGAGGCATTATGGCTGTCGCTTGTGTTGTATCTACCCAGTCGACAAATGAGTTAGATGTGTGTTTAGCTATTATATCAGTGTAAAACATGTATTGAAGTGCCCTCAGGGGAGTAGCAGCAAAACAATGTCAATATAATTGTGTTAAATTACAATGTGTTGTGGGTATTAATGCAAAACAAAAAACATTTTTCAATCACATGGAAAATGCCTCGGGCCAGTCTGTCACTATACATGCTTCAAACAGACACACACACTAAGCCAACAACCTAAGGTTGATCCTTCCTTTAAAGATGAAAGATTCAGTAATCTGCAGCAGAATTAAATAGAGAGATCTGAATATTCAGAGAATTTCTCTCTCTCTCCTTCTCTTGTTGCTTTGTGCCTCCCTCTGCTCGGCTCTCTCTAATTCCACTTTAATCTCCACAGTCAACACCTCCTGAGCCCCCTTCTGTCTTCAGCTCTCCCACACACACATACACACACACAGAGTTGCATATATGCACATAATGCATAGGCACACACACACACAACACACCACACACACACACACACACACACACACACAAGCATTAATGTGTAAGTCTTCCAAGTCAAGCTTGGACTGTCGGCTGCAAAGAGAGCACGGGGTCGCAGTAAACAGAAAACGACAAAGATTCACAGTGTTTTCAAATTTTGTTTGGCTTCTGCCTCTCTCATACACACACACAGCACACACACACCACACACACACACAAGTTTGGAATTTTTTCCAAAGAAAGTATAGTTATGTTTTCCCTATGTTGCTATGAGCAAGATCAAATAATAGTGTACATTGCAGAAGACAAATCCAAGCCTTGCACACAATGCTGGCTGGGTTCACTTCTTAAGGTCGGATCTTATGCCTCAGCAAAAAAAAATGAGGGAAAAAAAAGGTCTGTGTCTTGTCACACTGGGGATTTGGTGGATTGGTGGGTAAGTCTATCATTGGACGATAGTTCCAATGTTACCCACTTTATTCATATCATCATTACTAATCATTTTTCATATTTGTTTAATAATTAACAATATGGTTTATTTGACCCAGTGTTCGACACAACATGATTAAGTTATTACCATAAAACTTGTAGATCTTTTTAAAAGAGCTAATCATACCATGTTTGTGTAAGTAACCCAACAGCAGGGTCACAACAGTATATTGCCCCTTGGAATAAGGGTAAAGTTGGGTAAAGTAAAAAGTTATTCGTAAATTCGAATCAATTTTGACGCGGCTGGGTTATTGACTTACACAACACATGGCCCAGTGATGATTTAGCTCTTTTTTAGATTTACGCGGTTGTATTCTATAC